GTTCAATATTTACACAAGTGATTTGGGGTTCAGTATCTTGCCCAAGGATACTTTGACATGAGGACTAGAGGAGCCGATGATCGAAACAGTGGATAAATCACTCTACTGTCTGAGCCAAAGCCATTACTTAGTATATAAAATGTTAGAAAATAGTAAGAAAAAAAGGAAACATATTAATTGCTTGTCAATTGCCTGTCAGTGCAGTCTGACAATGCTCAGATGCGCAGAGCTCTCAAGTGCTGCTAAAAAAATCAGGGACTCTCTCAGTTTTAAAGCTACAGTGAAGACAAGACAAGACACCAATAGATGCCCCAGGACCTGGGACATCCATTGGTACCAACCATGTTAAGCTATGTTCTTGGAAAGGGGACCAAATAATGCTCCAAAGTTGAGCTCAATTTCAGCAAGAGACAAAGGAATATTATTAAGGAATAATATTTTTCAAAGTGGTGTATTTTGGTCCCTAAACAATTTCATAAATTGGGTATAACTTGAAAACTGAGAGTTGACTGCCATATGCTTTACACAATTTCAGTTCTGCACACAATTTGACCAATATTTGATTAAAGTAGCCTCAAGACTGAATGAATAAATTAAGAAAACAATATTTGTTCTCTCCCGCTTTGACGTTACAATTTAGTACCTTGCAGTTATTTCATCAATCAGTGTTTGATTTTATATTTCTTCAATCATTTATTGGATTGCATTTTTTCAGCCAAGGACACACATGTGACTTCCTCTGCTTTTCAAAATAATATGACAAAGAGTAGACAGAGTAGATACAAAATACACATGGAAATGTGATTAGTTGGACTATATTTGCACGAAGTATAAAACTTTGCATAGTGATTGTGCTCACCCCCACTCCCTCTATGGATGTGGATGAGGGACCCAACTGGAGGAGCTGGGGATTGAACTGCTGATCTTTCGCTTGGTTGACAGACTACCCAGCAGCCACAGTTGCTGGTGGTAGCAGCAAGTACTTTTTACCATTACAGGTCGCAGAGGTTCACCTCTCTATTGGAATGAGCGGTGTCCTCACTGAGGACTTTGTGGCAAGGAAAGCCAGAAGGGTAAGGTTTTAGCTGCAAGTGTTCTTCTGATCAGTGCAGTAGTATGTGCGCGCATTGGGGCGGAACTCTGCTGTGCGCGATACAGAGAGCAGAGGAGATTTACAAAGGCGCAACCATGTAGAGACAGAAATGACATGCAGTGGTGTAAATAAAATAAATAACAAGGTTATTCAGTTCGTTTAATAAGAGGACAAGGTATAGACCTGTTCTATAGGAAATGACTTCTGTTGTGATCTGGCGCTATATAGAAAATAAAATTAAATAAAATTAACTTGACCTTCAAGGGGGGCAGGGGGTAATGTTGGGCCATAGGGGGGTGTCGCCCAGGGCGGCATTTAGGCTAGAACCACCACTGGCTGTGAGGCACAATGCAACCGCTGCATCCTTAAAACATATTGTCGGATAATTAACACTTATCTCACCTACTTATTTTCCCTAATTGAAAGTTAAAATCTATGAATATATAACCCTCAATAATTTTTCAATATCATTCATGTGTAAGCTGCATACTGGCCCATGACTGGCTCCAAACTAGTTGTGATGTCATAAAGCCTGCTGGTACGTTTATGTGTTTACACTGAAAAACGTACCCCCATTTGGCCAATGGTTGTGAAAACAGCCCTCTGTTGTCAAACTCTGCGCATATATCATTGTGCATAGTAAAGCAACTACAAGCAATACATTTTGACTGGAGGGGACTTGAACACAGCTCTGACATGGCTGTAGGATGGCCGTCAGCAAACAGAGAAGCTTCTATCAACTGGTTGAAATTACTGGTGTTGCTTTCTCTGATACCCTTGTCTATAATGCTTTTAGAATATCTAGTATGTACCCTTTTGTTTTTCCTCCAGCTCAAAAAAAAGCAAACAAAATGAGCAGAATAGATGAATCCCTGTCTACCAGTACTATTTATTATAAAACACCTTTTGTTTCAGCCTAGATTTGATAAATATTGAAACTCACATCATGTGCAAATGGTGTCCTTTGATCAGGATTTCTTTGAAGACACTAGGAGCAGTCTCCTTATGCCAGCACTGGCCAACATTTATTTGATGCTCATGCCTGGCATTACTTTGTATATGTTCTGTATCACAGACTTAAGTGCAGTAAGTAAAATTATTTCTGCTCATGGTGGTTTGCAGTGTAATATTTTGCCTTGTGCGGAGTGTTTTTACATTCAATTCAATTCAAATCAGTTTTTTATAATCCTCTGTGTGCACTGCAGCTGTGTGTCCTTGTGTCTGTGTATGTATGTGCTGCTTACCTGACAGGTATAAGGTTACCAGAAGCAGAAAGAGCTATCATTCCTAGGGCTGTAGTCAACCAAAGAAAATCTTGGTTGGCTGAAATTCTACCTACACATCAACCAATCAAGTGGTCGATAGGGGGTGGGGGGTGGGGCCTGGTAGCCTTAAGTCTGAGTTTGGCGATTTTGTATATGTCAGAAAGTTACAAACGTTAAATATTTGTGGAACATTACATGAGGGAGACTAACTTTTAGTCCCTTTAAGAAGCTTTGCAATTCAGTCATGAATTGTGGTGTCTTTATTGAGACTTTGGAAAATATTCATGTTCCTGTTTGAAAAATAAGAGTTGGGCAGTGCAGGGCAGCAGGCTGAGCAAAGAACTCCAGATGTCCCTCTCCTGAGCGATGCTTTCCAGCTCCTCCTTAGGGATCCCGAGGTGTTCCCAGGCCAGATGAGAGATTTAATCCTTACAGTGTGTTCTGGGTCTGCCCCGGGGCCTCCTACCAGTTGGACGTGCACCTCAAAAGGGAGGCAGCTAGGAGGCATCCTGATCAGATGCCCAAACCACCTCAACTGGCCCTTTTAAATGTGAAGGAGCAGCAGCTCTACTCCAAGCTCTCTCCAGATGTCCAAGCTCCTTACCCAGTCTCAAAGGCTGAGCTCAGCCACCATTTGGAGGAAATTCTTTTCGGCCACTTGTATCCATGATCTCATTTTTTCAGTCATTACCCAAAGCTCATGACCATAGGTGAGGGTTGGGACATAGATGGACCGGTAAATTGAAAGCTTTGCCTTCTGGCTCAGCTCTCTCTTCACCACGACAGTTCAGCAGAGCCCCTGCATCGCTGCAGACACAGCACCAAATGGCTGATTCATCTCACACTCCATTCTACCCTCACTCGTGAACAAGACCCTGAGATACTTGAACTCCCTTGCTTGGGGCAGTTACTTTTGGGTTAAAATGCTACGCTTGTCACTTTTTACCCAACTGTTCAATCTCAGTGGAGGAAGGGCGGGAAAAATACCCCAAGACCAACTGTCACATACACGTACAAGTGCTAAACTACAACAACAACTGGGAAATGGGCTTTGGTGGACAAATGGCCTTATGAAAGTAACACCAGCAATTGTCTGACCAATGAGAATTTGATCGGACAAAAGCATATTGACTAACCAGTCAACCAACCAACCAGAGGGTGTCAGCCCGAGACATTCTAGATGCTACTTTAGCTATGTAAACTGTGTCCGTGTTGAAGTGAACTAGGAAAACCTTGAATATCTCAATACTGAATGTATGATTTTTTTGGGGGGCGGCTGTAGTTCAAAAGGTAGAGCAGGTTGTCCATCAATCACAGATTGTCAGTTTGATCCCCAATTCCTCCAGTCCACATATCAAAGCATGCTTGGGCAAGATACTGAACTACAAATTGCCACTGATGGCTGTCCATGGTGAATGAATGGTTTGCACCTTGTGTGGTAGCGTTGGCCACCATTGTGTGAATGTGGCAAGTGGTGTGAAAGCACTTTAAGTGTTCAGAGGACTACAAAGGCACTTTAAAAGCGTAGGTATATTTTGTTCCAATAGAAGTTGGAGTGTCAACAGTATACATGTGTAACTGCATATTTTCTTCTGCCTTATGCACTTAACTACAGTGGCTGTAGTTACTGATTGTAGTTAAGATGTGAAGCTGCTGCTCTGTTAACATGCTGTGTAGAAACTGTGTTGTCGTCCTGCATGAAAGTATTGTGCCATTTAAGGCATATTAAGATTAAAAAAAACATTAATGTTTGGAGACATTGATTGACATGGTCCAAGCCAATGACAGTTAGCCATAGTGGCTGATACAACAGCACTATCTTGTTGAACAAATTTTAATTTTCCCTTTACAACCAACTAACAAAACTGGCTGCAGGTATTAACCCAAAATCTGGGCTTCAAAACTTCTGTTAAAAACTACTACATTCATATCACTGACACTTGGTTGATGTTTTTGTGTGTGGTGTAAAAACTGTTGCAGAGGCTTGCTGCCTTGATAAGAATAAAATTCTTGAGGAACCACAGAATAATAATATAATAATAATGATAATAATTTTGGTGTGAAAACAGTCCTATAGCCTGGAGTTTTCTTGTCCTTTTAGTACATTTTTCTTGTCAAATTAATACTTCTGCATTCACAGTTTTTGATGGACATCATTCTGGTCTTTGCTAGTGTCAGTGTGTAGCGGGCCCTGTGGCTGGGCATAAAATCTCAATGCTCTTTTTGTGCCATCCAAAACATGACCTATGCACGAGGTATTTAAAACTTTGAAGTTCTTAAACCTGCCATTTAATGTCATTGTCAATTTGTACTCTTTCTACTTTGATTAGACACATTCTGGATTGATTTGGAATATTTAGGCTAAATTCTAGTAGAGCTCCTTGTTTTTAGATGACATTCAAAAATGTAACAAGGTTAGCTTCTTTTATTAAATATATTTTTAAAAAATTGTAAACTTTGTAAAAAAGCATGTGTAAATTCCTAGTAGTAAGGTATTGTGTTTTGGTATCAGCACAGAAACTTGGGCGTCACATCAGCATAAGTACTGACAAATTTAATACCCAGTCCTAGTCCCCTGATGAACATGAGATTTTGAAACTATTTTCTTAATTCTTTTGTATTCTTTTGTTTCTTTGCTGCAGCTCCCTATCCTGGCCTCCTCTGTTGTCAGTCTTTATTTCCTGGAGCTGACGGATATTTTCCAGCCGGTGCATTCTGGTTACAGCTGTAGTGACCGCAGTCTGTCTCTGCCCTACATCCTGCCCAGACAGGAAGTCTGTCCACTGCCTCTGCTCTTCAGCTTAGCTTTCGCCGCTCCCACCGCCACTGTGAGTAAATCTCCACACTGGACCTCACAGTAACATCTACATGTGGCTAACTCAACAACTGGTTTCAGGACTGTGATTATAGACGGGTTTCTGTGCAAGCCAAGCTCCAACACAGAGATGATAAGGAGATGTTGTGCAGTAAACTGCATCAAATGCAGAAAAGATAGATGGAACGTGTCTAATATTCTGAGGGGATCACTTCCCTTTCCTAAGAACAGGAGGACATTATGGATCCAGGCCATTAAAAGGGTGAATTGGGGGTCCTAAAGTCAGTGACAGTATGTGCTGTATGTTATCTACGCTTTGTAATTGATGCAAGGCATTTCCACACTGTCCCAGACATTGCTAGCTAGCTGTCACACTGATCTCATGTCTTATACAGTAGGTTTACAATTCCTGACAAAATTCTTTCAGATGTGGCAGGTCGTAAAGTAGCCTTGTCATTAATATTTTTACTTTGAAATAGTCAGTTGGTGTAGTGACACTAACATTAAAACTACCTCCTGATATTGGGTACGTTTACATGCACAAAATATATTTTATATTTTTGCCCTTATTCCAAAAATGACAATATTCACACTAAGCTGTTTAAATGACTAATGAAAATGAATATTCCATTAATATTCTTGTTTGCATGCAGCCCTGCTGCATGTAAACAAGACGGGCGTTAACATGCCATTCATCACATCAAAATATGGAATTGGAGCTGCTTGTTATTTTGCTTCTTTGCGTCTGACCACAAATGTTGGCTTTTCTTTTGGGGATGCATCTGTACTCCAACCTTCAAATTTTTGGCAAGGTGGTTTGTGTACAACGTCTCCAACGCACAGAGCTATCCATAAACAGGCAAGAGGCCATGTGTCACAAACTGTGGTAAAAACCCCAACAGAGATGAATATTCTGAATGGGCTATATACATGTCCAAAGAATTCTCCAAAAAACCTGAATGATATTGGCATATCTCACATATCATAGGCCCTGATCACACAGAAAGTGTTTTGCAAACTGCAAAATGCGAGGCGCACCACAATAGTAAAATAATTAGTAGTAAAAAAATATTTATTAACATGTGCACATAGAATGCAAAATGTGAAAAGTCCTTGGCAATTAGACCCCTTAGAGATTGCTTGATTTAAGGAGGGTGATGAATCCATAGTTGAATAGGAAAAAGGCCTAATTTGGAATATTCAAACAGAATATGCTGCTTATAAGACTCGCATCACATTCAGAATATTGTCACATTTGGAATAATAGTGGAATTTTAGTGTGCATGTAATGGTAAACATAGCCTATCACAAATAAGGAAAGGATTGATAATCTCAACAACCAAGACCACATAAGCTGAGTGAAATACATACGACATATCAGCCATAAAAGTTTTTGTGATTTGGCTATCTCCTTGTAGCTAAACATTTATGTGAATAACCTGCCAAATTTCATTCTGAGACCTGATAACCATAGGTCACTAGTCAAGTATTGTTAGCTAACAATTCCTTAATGATGTATTAATATACAAATAAAAGACAACAGATCCATCTCTGAAACTGCATTTTATTATCGAGTCAACAAGAATTTACAAACAATGCAAATTCCACTGATTACAATGGTTGACTACAGTCTTGTGAGCAACAACCAAAGTGGTTTTGTCCCCTGGATGCTTGAATACAAGAAACCTGTCTATACATGCAGGGACTCAGCTGGTGTCCACACTAAGACAAAAGCCTTATTAAAGCTATTTCTATGAACTATTGCTTCTTATGCTTTATTGTTACCACCAATAAACCATAAATATACCAGGTGACTAAGTATTCCTCCTCTGACTGACTAATTCATTACATTCAACTGTGGAAAAATACACATAGTAGCTGATGTTTTAAAGGGAAAGCTATCTTCCCACACTTAGAGGTGGTCTTGTACATGTTGCAGATTTAAAAATGTGCCCATAATGCTGTGGGAGTCTGACCACACTGAGACAAGTACAAGTGAAAGCACTAAGCTGTTACCATGCAACACAACCATTTGATGGGAATAAGCCAGTCATTTTAACTATGCTGACTAGAATACTTTTAAACTAACTGCCATATGTGGAGTGAAATTGCCTCGTCCAGCTCACAGTAAAGACTTTCTTTCTATTTTCAGTTCACTCCAAAGCTGCTGTTGTGGTATGTAACAGGAAAACATAACCATTAAACACTGCAAATTCCCTGCTAAGAATTTCTATGACTTCAAAGAGGTCATAGAATCTAGTATACAATCACTTCTAATTTTGTAAACCTTCCCCCCAGGGCTTTTTAAAAAATCTGGTAAGCAACTGATAACTGCTAGTACAGCCCAAACATTACTGGATTTTTCTACCAGCAATATGTTATTTTTGTCCACAGCTGGCATTAGTGTATCAGACAGTTAAGCCACCAAGCAGTCCGGTACGTTCAGTTCAGGACGCATTTTTTCCATTTCCAATGTGAAAAGTTGTGGATGGTACCAATGGAACCATTTCTTACCGTCCCCATTTTTGGTCACCCCTCTGTTGGGAGGGAACTGCCCATTGGTTCGACAGCCCATTGGTTCGACATCCCATTGTTCCGACCATATTAAACTCATTGTTCCGAAGTCCATTCCGAAATCATCATGACGCCCTGTGGTTAAGGTCTGGTTAGGTTTAGGCACAAAAACCACTTGGTTAGGGTCAGGAAAAGATCATGGTGTGGGTTAAAATGAAAAAGAAAGTGGCAAACACATAAGCCGTGAGCCTGCTCCGCCTCAAGCCGGTCGCGGCGCACCATACGCCCGCCGCGAGCCGTTCAGCACCGCGGACAGTCGGACTAATGGGATGTCGAACCAATGGGCTGTCGAACCAATGACATGGACCCTGTTGGGATACCTAGCACACAGATCTGGTACTAAAAGATGGAGCTAGAAACAATGCAGTCCATTGATTGGTCAATAGCAGACGGTCACTCTTGCTTAGCACTGAGTTGTGGCTAATTTTGAAGCTCATGTAACCAGTGTTCATACCGTGGCAAGTCTTACATATATTAGTAAACTATAACTATAAAATGAAAGGATGTTTTGCTGCTTCTCACAGCAGCTGTAGTCTGACAAAAAAATAACTGAATTCACTGAGTTGCCTGCTGGTAACTTTTAAGGTGGGCCATCTACCTGTAAGGTTACTCAATGCGTGAACTGACAACTTGAATCCACTTTAAATTTCAGTATGACAACTTTGATCGTTTCTTTAGTTTGTATTGTCTCCCTTTGATGACATACACTTTTAGTAATGAGTGGATGTTCAAGTGTTTAAAACTATATATTAATTTGAACTGGATTATGTGAACTGTACATATTCTAATCCTCACTTGGATCCGTTCCTGTGGGCTCTGGCAAAACTACGCCCCTGCACTTGCCTTAACCTGCTTTTTTTAAGTATCCCATCGAGAGAGACTCTCACTCTGGCCTATTCTGTTTTGTTCTGAAAATGTCTGAATGCATCCCCACTGCATGGACAATAAATGAGGTGCAAATTTCGCTTTGTGTCACTGGTGATGAGGAAATACAGCAAGCGCTGGACGGAGCAGTGAGTGACAACAACCCCACACACATTTAAGAGTACTGTTTGCAGTTGAAGCGCTAAACGGACCTAGGGTTTAGGAACCATGTCTGAAGGGTTACTTTTGGTTCCAAATGTACCATACTGAAAGTGTTTGGTGGAAACCAGGCTTTATTGTGGGCGGCTGTGGCTCAGAGGTAGAGCGGGTCGTCCACCAATCGGCGGTCTGATCCCCAGCTCCAGTCCAGTCCAGTTCAGATACTGAACCCCAAATTGCTCCCGATGGCTGTTCCATGTGTGTGAGAGCATGTGAATGGTTACTGAGTAGCAGGTGGCACCTTGTATGGTAGCCTCGGCCAGTGTGTGAATTTGTGTGTGAATGGGTGAATGTGACTCAGTAGTGTAAAAAGCGCTTTGAGTGGTCAAAAGATGAGAGAGGCGCTATACAAGTGCTGGTCCCTTTATCATTTACCATTGTACTGTATCAGCACGGTACACTACTGTATCAGGCTACAGTGCTAGCACAACAAACACTGCCATCATAACATAAATGTAAAAAGTTTTAAATGCTATTTTCTGAGGTATTACTGTAAACATATAGCTTGTTTTCATTATTTATGTTTTTCTAGAGAGACTGGATGCAAAGAAACCTGAAACAGCCAGCGAAGAGTGGACTTGTCAGTATAGAGAGCAAAATTAGCATTAGCGTAGTGAAAGTTTTGATGGCAAAGTGTGTGTGTGCAGACCAATCTGAACACACTTTAACATCGTGGAAGATATTATTGTATGTTTCACAACCGCTTACACTGCATCAGCCACTGGCAGTTACAAGCTACAGGATGCTAACTTCATTCTATTCTGATACGTCTGCTAGTTGCAGATTTTGGTGCACAGCAGACTCCTCATCTAAGTCTGGGTCTGACTAAGGCTCAGACATGTATGGCTGAATCTCTCCCATGTTTCCTCTAACACTAACGCTAGCCATCTTGGTGCACACTGCTCCATCACTGATCAACTGCTCTGGGGTCTAGCCCTAGAAGTGCCGTGCCAGCACTGGTGAAAGCAGAGAGTGAGGGGTGAGAGGTTGTCTAATAAGATAAAATAATTGAAGTGATGACATTTTATATTCAAAAGGTCAATTTAACTGGGCATCATATGTTCTGCAAAAACACTTTACTGAACATTATTCAGCATCATACCTGAGGAACAGAAGGGGAAACATTTGGTCACATACTTAATTGGTGACACTAATTGTGAGTGTCCACCTTGAAACTATGCTGATTGTATAGATCTTCTGTGCTGTTGGGGGAAGATGTGTGTGAAGCAGTCATATTTTCACAGGTATAGATGTAAACTGTAACAGAAACTTGACTGGTGTGTGAGAGGGCATAAAACTGCAGTGTGGTAATTCTAGTTTTCTTTTACTTTTCATGTGGCAAAAGCCTGTTAAACAAAATATCATAGATTAATTAGTATTTCTACATACACTAAAAGGTATCTGGAGGAGGAGTTCAGTCTTTCATTTAAAGAAACTACATCAAAGAGCTGTCACATCAAAAATAAAAAATAAAAAATAAAAAAAAATCTTACTACTAGCCTTTCTTGAACATCTTGCAGTCTTCCTCCTCTGGGATTGAAATCTCTGGAATTTTTTTGTGAAATCTTGCATTTTATCTTCTATTTATTGTTTAAATAAATGAAGAAAAGCATAGACTGTGATTTTCAGTCATGACAGTGGGATGTTTGCATCAATAAATGGTCGAGTTAATGCATTCAGCAGATCTGTGAGATAGATTTATCTGGTAATACAAAATCTGCATTGTCAACAATCTTTTGTTTCTCTGTGTCTGTATGTAGATTCTTATAGGAGAGGCCATTCTGTACTGCTATCTCTCCAGGAGGTCATCAGCTACACAGACTGAGGCCAACATCAACGCTGCAGGCTGTAATTTTAACTCCTACATCCGCAGGGCTGTACGCTTCATAGGTGGGAGGACACATGCGTTATACAAAGCTGATTATATGCATGTTGTTAAGAACTGAATCTCAGACACAGAAAACAACAGTAGCTGTAAGATAATAATAACATTTGTCAGACCACGAGTGGACACAGACTAAAACACATTATCATTTTTAAAGAAGCACAAGGTTATAATCTAACTAATCCACTGTTTGATGTTGTAACATGTTGTTTTTACAGGTGTCCATATCTTTGGCCTGTGTGTGACAGCACTGATAACTGATATCCTCCAGCTGTCCACTGGTCAACACACCCCCTACTGGTTGGATGTTTGTAAACCCAACTTGACCCACATTAACATGTCCACTTGTGACGAAGCCTTTATTCTGGAGGATATCTGCTCTGGACAGGACACTGGGCTCATTAATGCTGGGAGGTAAGGCTGAGTTTTACAAAGCCAGGGAGTGTGGGAGGGTGTACGAGTGAACTAGTGAGTGTGTCAGAGGATGTGTGTGGGTGTTTTTCAGTGCGTGTTTATGGAGTCATTTTTAATGTGCAGTTTGAGCACACACACACACATGCACACACACACAAACACACACACACACACACACACACACACACTTGTAGCTTGCAGCCATAGACTAGTTTTCTCTGTTGTTATGGTTACGAATCTGCTCTCGGGACATGTACTGAAACATAGAAAATAAGAGCTGAATATTAGCATACTCTACATCATCACTGCCAAGGTCATGTGCTACAACATAAACTGGTGACAACATGGCCGCTCTACTGTGATGAGATTGCAAATGAAATATGTTAAGATTACCTTAAGGACGTGCGTTACAGCTCACTTAAAGCACTTAGACCCCCACAGGTGTTTTCACTTATTGGCTGATTGCACCATGCTGAGTCAGGACATTTTCCTGAAGATAGGGCTTGTTTTATTCTCAACGTTAGGACTGTTTTTGGTCTATTTAAGCAAGCACTAAAAAGAAACTAAAGAAGTTGAATGTAGTGCAGCAGACTTCTCTCAGTCACTCAGTATGTTCAGAAGACATTAGAGAAAATTGATTTATTGTGTTAGCCCGACTAAAACTGGACTTTTAAAATACATGTAAACATGTTAGTCTGACTGAAATCATACTAAATCAAATTTATCAAATTCAGAGTAACACACCCAGATAATGTGATTGGGAGTCAAATTACTCCAGCGTGTACACAGCCAATTGGACCCAAACTGGCCTAGGCACTCTGCACATGCTCCACAGTTTCCGCCCCGGGCTTTGACTCGAAAGTCCAATAGCATTAAATGCGTACCACAAGAAGAAGCTCCTAACAATATGGTGCAATCTGCACTCAGAGCCGTGCATCTTGGATGGACGAGGAGACATAGTTCATGCTGTTTCAGCTGAAAAAGTTAAATATTTAACAGCACATACTAAATGTGCAGAGCTGTTAAGTTGTCCACCATGATACCAGTTTGCTGCTAGCTAACTGTAGCTAACTTATTTGTCAGTTGTTTGGTCCATGACATATTATGTCATCTGGAAAAAGGTCCAGTATTAACAAGCAGGAAGAGGGCATATTTTCACCTATCGTAGCGGAGTTGGACATACTTCAGTCAATAATTCGATTTCCCTTCCCATGCTTGTATACTTGGAAGAAGACAGTAGTCCAATTAAATAGCCTAGTTGAGCTACAACTCCACTTAACTTTGCAAGTAAACATACAGAGTGAGACCAGTGACTGAGACCTGCTTGCAGTCAGTCAGCTGCTGCAGGTTATAAGCCTTGCCTTGTTCATGTTTTGAAAAAAAAACAAAAAACAAAAAAAAAACAAATTAAACATATTTTGATGGTGGACAATTATTGAGATTGTTGAGGACAGTGGAGATGATGGTTTGCATAACTCTGCTGCAGTGGGTCATTAAGTGAAAATTATGGTATGATCATGTAGAGGGTGTTGGATGCCAGGTACATTCAACCTGACAAGTCATTTGACTTTGTCTCATTAATGAAATGTAAGATACTATGTAGTATAGGCAACTTGACTTATAGATACTGTATGTGTGAAGTGTATGAATGGCAGAGAAGAATTTAATGCAGAAAATGAAGCCGACTATACCATTTCTAGCAACTTCCTATGCAACACACTTTTGGTATAATCCAAATACAGATATGAACACATATTTATGTGACATAAATGGGTAGAGATACTAGCATTGTGTTGCACCACTAGTAGACAACTGGTAAGGCTGCCATGTCACAAGCAGCACCATGTCGGCAAAAGGCTGCCAATCTGTAGTAATATTTGCCGCTGTTGGAATTTTTTGAGAAGGGGACCATATTTATTGTACCAGCTTTGTAGTATTATACTGGTGCAGTTCAATAAGTGGACTGATAGTAAGCTACTGTAAGTGTACACTGTGGCTTCCAGTTGTAGTTGAGGTGGTACAGCAGGTTGTCCATTAATTTTAAGGTAGTTGGATGACCCCTGGCTCCTGCTTTCAACATTTTAAGCATTCTTGAACAAGGCACTGAATTCCAATCTCCCTAGCTTCAAGACCCGCATCTGACAGCTTCTGTATGGCAGTCGCCCTGAGGCTGTGATTGGTGTAGATAGCTGTTGTCCCCGCCTCTTTACACATCTTCGGCAGCATCTGTGCGAGTGAGTTTATTCCCAGTGGAGCTTTAGTGTACCAGATATTGTCTGTGTGAGCTGCTGTCATCCTGGGCTTCAGATAAAGGGCATTTGCATCTGGTGGAAGTTTGTTTTAATACTTTTCCAGGGATGCAACGCAACTGCTGACCTAACTGACACTAACCATCAGTTTTGAATTGATTGTTGATTGCAATCAGCTGTGAGGCGGAGTGATACATACACAGTGAAATAACCGTGATGTTGTACTCCAATATCGTCACGGTTTTACTGTCTCTCGACCAATCAGATTGCAGGGCCGGAACTAACTGTTGTATAAAGAGGAATAAGAAATCAAAAATAGTATATTAGAGGAACTGAATCTCAGACACAGAGAGCACTGTAAAAAAATCAGAGCACTGTAAATGCACTGTGTAATAAATATTAATGTAAGACAAACGATGCACACTGTATTTAGAAACATGCTTTATGGCAAAATACATGGAGCATAGTTTTGGTTGACGGCACGGAGGCGGGCGCGGGGCCGTACGCGGGCACACGGGTACACACATATAGGTTTCGATCCACAAGTGTCGGAGATGAAGGCTTCCCAGCCAAACTGTGGTCCCATCACAGGTGTTTTCGAAGTGGTCTCCGGGCATGTGCAGCTCGCGCTGCTAATGGTGCTCACAATATGACTGGGTAGTGGACAAAAACGCAAATATAAACAGTAGAAATGTGGGAAAAATGCAAAAACAGCATCGTGGCTGTCTGCACATGACCAAGATGAAAGCCTATGTGCAAGTTCAGAGAAGTAGGTCAAAGCAGTGAGGAAGAAAATGGATGATGACAGACAGACGGAGGGAGGGACAGAGGTTTCTCCATTTAATAGTAGGATGATGTACTGTAGTCAGTTTTTTTAAGAAATGCAAATACTATAGCTGGAATTTTAGGCAGTTTAGCAGAAAAAAATAAATGTACAAAAAAAATGCTGTACAGATAGTTTATGTTGCCCAGTGACTGCACGTTGCTCAACATGTTATGTTATGTTATGCTATGTTATATTATGCTTTGTGTATCTCCAAAGCAGTGCTTGAGGTGTATGATGAATTTTTGGAAGCACTGTGGTTAAAAGACAACTTCGGTATTTTTCAACCTGGGCTCTATTTCCCCATGTGTGTGTGCGCGTATGATTCATAGGTACAACTCGTTCTAAAATTGGTTCAGTATTGAGGGAGGCGGATGCAGCTGGCAGCTGTGAAACGAGCTAAAATGGTAATGGGGGCAAATGCGTCCCGTATAAGTTTGCGCATTAAAAGTACTTTTTATCGGTACTGTTGCTGCCAGTTACCTAACAGTAGGTTTGGGTGGTATGTATTTTTTTTATACCTTCATAACTTCCTGAAACTTCAGCGGGGCATATGGTTCATGAGGGTATTTGTGTGGGGGCACTCCATACTCCAGAGGGGCAAGTATGTTCTAACAAAACAAACTCACAAAATGTCAAAAAGGTAATATTGTGACATGTATTTATGTTATTAAACAGAGAAATACAACCACACACTTCCTGAATTCACTGAGTTAAGATTAGCTTAACTGACTTGTTAAAGTCGGGTGAAGTAAAATCTGAGATTTACATTTAAACACAATATACATGTTAGAAAACACTTATTGAAAATGCACATAGACTGGGAACTCTATAGTACTGAATTGTGGCGTTAAACCGTTAAACTGTTTTTCACCAGTTCTGTGTCCAGGATTTTTTGGCTGGGGCCGAAAGCATGCAGGCTGACCCAGTGGAGCGACCCTTAGCATAAGCCCGGTTCCTATACTATGTAAGAACTGGAGCCTGTTGAATTTTTGAACCCAACACACCCAAGACCAGGTCAGCTAGCACCACAAATAGAAATAAAACTCTGGTGAAGTTGACAAAATATGTTTTGTTTGTATCAATTTATAGCCTAACTTTATATGGCTAGATCATGTTAAAGCATCCATTGTAGTGCTACAATTAAAAGAGGCTGCTACTTTCCTGAAAGTGGGCGTGGCTACAGCACATTCAGCGGGAACGCCCCCAGCGTCTCAGAGCAGAGAATACTGCCATTTTTTGTAATGATTTTGAAACTTTATTTTATATTCTTGATGACTTTTTTAATCAATCAAATTTGGCTGGGTGCTTAATAACACATTCTGTGGTGTGACAAACTCATTTATTTTTACTTTACCCAGACTTTAACCAATCGTAAAACACACTACATTCAAACTAAACAGAAACACAGTAAAACACACTAAAACCATCATAGTCTCATTAGCCATCTAACTAATTAGTCCACTGTTTCTACAATCATCAATGCTGGTTTAGTCAAAATAAACCCTTAATCTGCCTTTGCTGTCCGCCTGTTCAGAGTTTTGTAATGTGATCCCCACCACTCAAAGGCACCATGTTTTCCAGCTCAGCTGCTTGTTAAAGTAGTAAAGACTGATCTCTAGTGGTGCATGATGTGCACTACATACAATCAATACAGCATCTTTGTATTCATTTAATAGAAAGAGGAGCATCTCTGTTTTTGAAAGTGTGTCATTGTTACTGCATCTCACTAACGCGGCTGTACTGCTTGTCACTAACTCGGCTTCTTCTCCGGAGCCCTTGTGCTCCACTGTCTCACAGGTTAACTTATATCGCAGCAGTACCTGGATAGTGTGACGTGTGTGGTTGTGCTGCTACCGTAGTCCTGCCTGATGTCTCCTGCTGCTGTTACACATATGATTATTGTCACATATGCGTACTATCAGATA